CGGCGCTCCGCCTCCTTCTCCGGCGCATGGTAGCACTCCGCCTCCTTCTTCGCCTACGCCAGCGCTCCCGAGCAGCCAGCAGCCTCCCCCTTCTCCGCCTCGCCAGCAAGGGCGGAAGAGACCCGCCGCCACCCCGGCTACTCCGGCGCATCGTACTCCTTCTCCTCCGCCTCGTAAGCAAGCACGAAAGAAGACAGACGCTGCAGCCGCTCCGTCTGCTCCGGCATCTAGTAGCACAACCAGAGGCGGGAGGCAATACAAATACGGTCCATCTCTCAAGCCGCTAGAGAAGTTACCATAAGAGAGGTCCGAGGAGGAAAACGATACGATTGTGCGGACCCATGTGAAGGAGTTCTTTGAAGGGGTGAAAGCAAAGAGACATCCACCTCCGGAGGAGAAGGTAGATCCGGTGAAAGCAAAGCGCACTATCGATGCCCTGAGGAAACCACCAAAGTCTCCGCCGAGAACCAACTATGAGCGCATTACTGAACAGGCATATCTCCAAGCCCAGCGGTCAGGAACTACTGTCAGTGCTAAAAGGTCAAAAGAACGACCAAAGGGGGGAAAAGTTGCCCAGCTCGGCGAACAAGCACAGCAATCGTGCCCCCCGCTCAATGTGTCTAATGCTCCGGGGACGGTGGCCGGTTATGGCAATCTTGAAGATTACCTGCCTAACGATGCACTTCCTGATTTCTTGGAGGTGGACGAACACATATACGAGTACGGGAAGCCTCTCGTCAAAGATGAAAAATCTCTGACAACAATGATGCGAAGATTCCATAATTGGTACATGGAAACCTGCAGAGCGTCTAAGGGTAAGAATGCTTTGTATCTGCATATTAAAGAGGAGCACGACCTCGTTACAAATGATCTGTTGACTGTTCCATTTGATGAGTTCTTCGCGTTCTTCAATCAAAAGGCCCTCGATAAACTAATGGTCTTTTGCTACTATCTGTAAGTACTATTTCTGTCATTAAGTCTCTATATATAGCTCGGCTCTTTCATTTCATGTATTTATAATTAATTATCCTCAATATATTATGCAGATTGAAGATCGTTGAGTGCAAAAAAAAAATTATGATATTGGTTTCATTAACACAAATATCATAGATGAATTTCTGGTTAAAAAGGACATCAAAGAGGCCAAGGACAACGTGCTAGAATAGTTGATCAAAAATCAAAACAAAGATACTATACTCTTTCCTTACAACGGCAAGTGAGTGTTACTATCGTGTGCATATTCGGTTTCCCTTATTACTCGAGCGAGGTTATAGTAATGTATTGATGAGTTATGAATGCGTGCGCAGGTACCACTATATTCTTCTGGAGATTAAGCTTGAGCGTGGACTAGTAACCGTCTTAGACCCGAGACGGAAAGATCCCAAATCCTATGCGGACATGACTGAAATGCTCAGCAAGTAAGTTCAATCGATCATTATCGCACCATATCGGCAACTTTTTGTTCATTTCCTGATATCTCAAGTAATAATAATTATTTTCTTTGTCTTGCAGGGTTTGGAAACAGTTCACCGCGGAAGCTCCGGGACTGCCGAAGGAGCTGCGATATACATACCCGAAAGTAAGTACTACTGGCTACCTAGTTGCGCGCATCTCCCGTTGATTCTATAGCTATACTTTCATCAATGCCATTTATAATGCTTCATTATCAGTTTGATTGACCTCTATTTCTCGTAAAGTGCTTGTGGCAGGAAGAAGGGAATGATTTCTGTGGATACTACGTGTGCGAGTTCATCCACAACGCGACTTTGAAAAACAAGCAGGGCTACTCTCAAAGACAATATGAAGTGCGTAAGCAATAATATTCACAATTTCATTTTATTAGACCATCATTTCTGTTGAGTTTCATTCATATGTATGTTTTAATTAACCCCCTTCTTCAAATTAGACGTGGCAGATGCGGAATGAACTCCTAGAACCAGATCGCATGAAAGCAATTCAAGAGGAATTGGCGGGATTCATTCTTGACCACGTCATCAATAAAGCCGGAGAATACCATGTGAAAATTGATTTCAATTGCTAGGGGATTGTAATTAAGAGAACTTATACATATTGTACATGTATGTAGCCAGTAGCGTCAGATACATGATATACGAAAACTTGTTGTTCGACCAATCTCTCGGAGAAGGAGAGGTCGATCGATCACTTCTCTTGGTATGCATGACGAACTTCTGTACTGAATGGTTCTCTTAATCACTTATGCATATATAGTACGTAGCGTCGACCAAGCACGGACATAAGAGAGGACACTTCTCTCTATTAATTAGCTAGCTAACACAATATATGAAACAC